ACTATTGTTAGACCTGGCTAGGAAGATTTGAAAGTTTTTATGGCGGCTCTTTAAGGACAACAGCGCGGTCCAGTTCCCATCTTGAATTTTAATTAATTTGGCAATTTCGTTGCAAGTTGCCACATATCTTTAATGGAATGGAATGGTTACTGAAAGCAAGGGGAGCTCGAAGTTCCCATCTAAAAACTTGTTACAATTAATAATATTATTATTGCAATCAAAGTAGCCGCATGCCTGGCAATTAGAGGCGTGGCAACAGGGGCGGGGAACGGACTTTTCTCAGTCACGTCCCTGCCACTGACAAAGTAAACCAAGTTGCCCGATTTGGCCAAAAGAGGGGGAGACGTCGGACAGACGGCGAAATGAGGAGACAGGATGTTGCCGCTGCATAAAAACTTGTTAAAATTTAATAATTTATGGCCCTGGCCCAGACAGTGAGTAGCCGTAGCCCCAGTCCCGGCCAAGTACATACTGCCAGCTAGCTGGGGCAGCAGTCGAGCTGAGAAGGCAAGTAATAGACGTCAGTTTTTTCTTCTTGCGGCCTGCAGTTGCTGCACGAAATTGGCTCAAGTTTGTCCAGCTCGCCAGGAAACTGAAGTGACAGCCAGTGGGCGGGATGGCTCGCAATTTGGCCGCCTGCTGAAATTGCAAAACACTTCTCTGTACTACCGACCACGCCCAGTTTCTTGTTTATGCAACTTCTAGCTAATATGTAGCCGTAATTAAATTTGGTAGATGCTCGTGGCAAAGGGTTCTGTCCCTGACTCCCAAGTCCCGAGCCCCAAGTCCTGAGTTATGAGCAGGCCAAGAGCTTTACTCACCTGTCACCTCTTGGAGTTCGGTTTTCCCCGAACGGCTGTTGTCCGTTTTTCGCACTTGAAACAAATTGACTTGGCACAAAGTCGCGACGTCAACTCCTTACGTGAGCGAAATTTCAAGTCTCGTGTATGAAAACTCGCGAAAAGGGGACTCCCCCAGTGGCGGTGACACCGGCGTGGTGTTAATGGTTAGTAAACTAATTAGCCGGAGGACAGGGTCTTAAATCAACAAACGCTTGATGAGTGTCGGAAAAGTGCAGAAGGGGAGGGACTGCAGAACGCTGAACTTGACTTGCTTAACTTTTACTCTTAGGGTGATACATAAATTGGCCCCCAACAACACCACCCATTGGAGTTTATGAAATTAAACACCGTAATTGATGATAATTTAAACTTGCTGGTTGAATTGGGGAAACCTTTGAACCTTTAAAACGTTTCCATCACAATTGCCGAAATAAAGTTGATTTGTCGGAACACTTTTGGCCCCGATGGGGGCATGATTTACTATGATGTCCGGCGAGTGCGGATGCGATGGTAATCCGGGGGGTTAAAACCCAGCAACCGGCGGACAATGCAGCCGGGCATCGAGGTGCAAACGAAACGAGAATGAATTATACGGTTTTGTATGGAATCAATTTATGTGAGCTGCAGCACCTCCGGCAGGCCAGCCGAGGTCCTCGTTCCGTCCACGTACTGCCACCGTTCTCGCTGAGATATGCAAGGCACACAGAACGGGAAAGGACCAGAGAAATGGCTGCAAAAAGAGCAGTTCTTTAAGAACTTAATTAACTTTTTGTTCCGTGTTTCTGTGTTATTGCCGTATTGCCTTATTGCCGTATTGCCGCCTGGGCGTGGAACGAGCATGGGGACCGTAAAAATATATATTCCACAATATTTAACTGTCACATTGTGCGACTTTTTACGCTCCGGCAAACGCATAAACAAACCGCATTGCGTGCAAAAATATTCTCAATATTGTGACTGGAATACTGTCGAAGTATTATAAATACATGAGTCCAGGGCTCCTGCGGCTTTTGTGCATTTTAATTGCAATTATTCCGGCAGCCAGAGAAAAGGAAATCCAATAGTAGGCCCGACAGCTGCAGTTTAGTTTTCGCAAATTATTCAAAAGGCTCCCACGCCTGTCAGATATATGTTTGCTTGTTTGCATTTTATTTATTTGCGAACTGCTAATCAATCCAATGGCCCTGGCAAATATTTGTCTGTCGAACTCTCAAATATTAGCTCTCAGCTCTCGACTCTCAACTCTCAACTCTCGACTTTCGCCTTGATTAAAAATGTTTATTTAATTGAGACGTTAGGCGGAGCGACTAGGAATGCAAACTCCGCCCTGGCTGTGGCCAGCCACAAAGTGACTCAATATTATGAGGTGATTGGCATGTAAATGATGTGGCCCACCGCAACGAGGCTTGTGATAAATATTTTTAATCGCTCTATAATTGATTTACTCGGCCGGGCGGACACTTTACAATTAAGCCACTAATTAATGATTGAATTCCTCGCCGAACCTTGTTATGAAATACCTAATTGTGTTATTCTGCTTTGTTTTGGGCGTTGCCTTGAGTGAGAGAGTTTCAGCCAAGTATTTGCTTTTGCTTGCCCCCTCATCAGTTTTTATTTATATTAATTGTTTGCTGGTTTTTGCAAACACGACGTGTTTTCTCTGGGCAAATAGTAGTTGGTAATTAATGCCAAGCCAGCACTATAAATAAATACGCATTGCCCATGTTCGGCACCCAAATGCTCACCTATAGTTCCACCACTGGTGACCCACAAAAAGCATTTGCGCTTTGGTTTTGATTATTCTTTTGCCAGCCATAAATAATCGACTGTCGGCGGGAATAAGCCCGGCTCTAGCTCTGGTTTTATTTGATCCCGGGTATCAGGTGCGTGTCGAAAACTCGACATCCTTTTTAAGCCATTTTTTCTGTTCTCTGTGAGCAGCAGGACACTTGCGGACTCCGATTGCCGGCCAAAACAGGTGCTGGGATTCACACGCTTTTACCTGGCATCAACCGCACTTCTACGAGCTGCAGAAGAAACAAAGGGCAACAATAGAAATGCAAATTCTGATTTCAGCCGGATGGCACTGGATCTTGGATCTGCCGATGGTTACCAGGGGCAACCTGGAGTCGTCTCGGACTTGACTCTGGAAGGGATTCAAGGATGAGGCCAGAACAAACGAAGCGTAAGCCCTCAACGGGCAAGGAGCAACGACGAAACTGACGAGTTCGAATATGTAAATATTGGACGAGACAATCAAATATGCAACAGTATTCTTCTTCGATTTTCCCTTCCTTTCCTTTCCGTCTTAAATTTCCAGCTCTCATTGACAAAAGGGTTGCACGTCCCTTGACTACATAAACAACCAAATCTGTCCGTCCGGTGCTTTGGGTGTGAAAAACTCTTTTCCCCTTTTTGTTTTCTGCTTTGCTGGGCATTTTTTGGCAAGAGTTGTCTGGCCAGGGGCGAGCCCTTAAATCAACATGTAGCCCATAGAAATGATAAACTTGGCCTGCATTATTCATGAGCATAAAGCAGGGCTAATGAAAATCAGCGGATCATAACTGCTCATTCCAGCTTTTACCCTGATGACCTTGAAAGCCGGATGGCTGCACTCGACTGTACGAGTATAAAGGGAAAGTAGTCCCGGGTAAAGCGCAGATCAGCTTACATGTGTGAGTGGCCCGATGTGGATTTCAATGAGTTTGCAGATGCTGAAAAGTAATTCACTTACGGGGCCTTCCTCCCAGCTCTCAGCAGAACGTCCTTCGTCAAATGCATCCTGCATCTGCGGAAACACACTGGCTCGAATTATGTATGCACTCGAGAAAGCACACAACTTGTAAATAAGCCATGCATTTATATTGTCTTCCCTTCCAGCGAGCAGCCTGGCATTGCTCTTGTGTTACTTGCCACATCTTTAAACGCTTTGTAAGTGCAGGCACTTGGATGAGCTCCTGGGACTCACTGAAGGCTGTATTCGATACTTGCAATATGGATGAGTTGCCTTTAAAAGCTTTATGTTAAAACCGTTTAAGTAGGGAAGGGATTTTACCTGATAATTATTGCCAGGAATATATCAGTTCTAAGGCTAAATATACAATATAGACTAAAGAAGTATCACGCAGGACTTAAGGCTGTCGCCTTGTGAATATCAATAAAGTTGAAAGGGAGATACTGACATCCAGACAGGTCCTTGAATTGAATGTGCCAATCAGAAGTCACCTTTCGCCCGTATCCATTGGCTTTGCAACAATCGCCTTGATTTAACTTTCGATTTGCCGAACAATGGACTGGGGTTAATAACAGTCCGGGTTCACACATTGTAAGAGTGCTGCCTGGCAGTTTGCCTCTGGCCAATGTTTACACAACTTTGCTAAGTTTGGCCATTCATTGAACCGACTTTGTTGGCGAAGTGCACTCTGTCGGGTTTTATGTGCAGGAAGTTGTCAATACAGAGGCCATACGCGATAAAATATGATGCTAGGGCACGGGATGACAAACACATTCAAGGAAATTCCCATTCCGTTCGATATCGGCGAGATACTACTTCAAGGATTCTCGTTCCTGCCTCGTAAAAGTGAATCGCGACGCCGTAAAACCCCGATGCATTGTTTTCCCTGGCTGCCAGTCTGCTAAACCTCATTTATAATTCTTAAATTGTAATCATTCGGGGGGCGAAATAATTACTGAATATTTATATCACAACCTGTCGCCTGACGTCGCGGCTCCCTGTGGTCTGCTCTTAATGGTCGTCGATTTTAATGGTGTGCTTTTTCCACGCCCCCTGTGAAAAATCACTGCCGCTGTCCTCATAATTGCCACGCCCCCGCGGGCAGGATGGGGCAGAACGGACATTTGTCTGTCGCCAGCAGCCGCCATTTGGTTTTCGGCCCACGGCCGTTGACAAGCCATTTGTCACATTTACACAGCCGCAGGCGGAGCCTCATCCTTGGACTTCACCTGGATTTCGGATCTCCGGGAATCACATTAAAGCGAATCTCACAGCGACTTCTGAAATCCCTCGTGACCCAGTTGGATCCACTGCCAAGACATATTTCGCGGGAATTTATGAGCAGGCAATTGAAATCCTGCCAAATCAATTTGCGGCCAAGTGTTTTCGGCGATGGTCGAACACGTAGCCCAGCAACCAAATCCCTTCCACTCACAACCTACATTTCGGGCCAAATTTAAAAATGAACACCTTGCGGAGAATTCGATTGGTTTACCTAAGATCAATGGGCGGAGCTTTTCGGTTGTACTCTGGCAAGGATCAGAAGAAGGATTCTGCCGGGCAGAAGGCGAAACCACCGGAAAAGCCTGCTGAAACGGCGAAGGGCAAAGGGGAGGCTGCAGGTGCGGGTGCGGGTGCGGATGACAGTGCCAATAAGGCCAACAAGGTCACCATGATTATTGGCGAGGGCGTTGGCCCCGAGATGATGAGCGCTGTCCAGGAAGTTATTTGTGCCGTGAAGGCCCCTATAGAGTGGGATATCCTTGAGCAGTACATGGCCCCGGATAGCAAAGATGTTTCCGCAGAGGTCATCGCCTCTCTGCGAGCCACTAAAGTGGGCATCAAGGGACCCGTTGACAGTCGCCACTGGCAGCGCCAGATCCGCAAACAGTTCGCCCAGTTCGCCTACGTGTCCTTGTGCTCGCACATCGAGGGTCTGGACTCGGTCTTCGGGGACTTTGACATCGTCATCATCCGGGATCAGATGGAGGGCGACTACTCCGGCATCGAGCATCTCGTGGTTCCCGGCGTCTCGCAGACCATCAAAGTTAGCACCACGGCCGGAGCGGCCAGGGTTTCAGAGTTTGTCTTCAACTACGCTAAGCAGCACAATCGGAAGAAGATAACGGTGGCTCACAAGGCCAACATCATGCGGCTGACGGATGGTAACTTCCTGGAGGCCATGCGAGCCGAGGCCGAGAAGCACGTGGACAATATCGGCTTCGAAGAGCGCTACCTGGACACCTGCGTTGTGAACTTGCTTATGAGACCGGATAAGTGCGATGTGATGGTATCGTCCAGCATGTACGGCGACGTGCTGCGTGTGATAGCGGGCGGCATGATGGGAGTGCCCGGCATATGTCCCGGCTACTCTGTCAGCTCTCTGGGTACCGTTTTCGAAAGTCGGACGAAGGCGTGCCACGCCTTGGCTGGCAAGGATCAGGCCAATCCCACAGGATCTCTGCTCTGTGCAGCCTTGATGCTGCGCCACTTGAAAATGGACAAGCAGGGGGATGCCGTCGAGTGCGCGGTGCGCAAGGTTTACCGTGACACGGATATTCGCACCCCGGACACGGGCGGCAAGGCCAAGTGCTCGGAGTTTGTCAAGGCCGTCTGCGATTGCATGGAAAAGGACGAATGAGCGCAAAAGGTGATAAAAACTATTTCAAGGCTTCCATTTCCTAGTTAACCCTCCAAATTGACTTTCATCTAGAAATCATATTCGATATTTCAGTGACTTGTTTAGCAATTAAAACTTAGAACTTAAACTTAATATATCTTCAAATTAAAACATTAAGTCTCTACAGTAAACCTCTGTTTAAGTTCTTTTTTAAAGAGGTCTTAGTGTGGGTAATTAATGTTGAAATTGCTTCATTCTTGATTCTTTATTCTTGATAACAAAATATAGAAAAGACTGCAAAACCTGCACAGAAGGTGCCTCTAGTTTTTGACAGTGTGACTTTATGGGCCTGGCAGATACATTGTGATAACTGGCTTTCTTCTGAAGGAAACTATCGGCGAACTAAACACATTTATAATATGTAATTACCTCGCATTTAATTCACTCGCTCCGCTGGGGTCATAAAAGTCGCAATTCCCCGGCTATCGCTTGCCAGTCGTAGTCGTATATTTATATAGCCCGTGCTCTCCGGTCCCAGTTTTCGGGTCGCAGTTTCCAGATCTCTGGTGCTTGCAGTGCATTTCGGCAGATTTATGGCCGTCCGGCATTAACCGCCGCAGATGCCAGCTGCAGCTTCCTTTGCCGCTTTTTCGGCTCTTAATTAAGTTGCATTTCGAGTCCTGCCACGTGGCCACGTGGAACGGCGAAGGACGGTGGCCCGGCGGAGGAGCGGAGTAGTGGGGGTGGTGCACTCTCTGATAATAAAAGCACATGTTGACATCTGCCCACAGTGTCAGGCGGCCATTATGCACCTATTCGCCATTTTGGGTGGGGTGCACAGATGGGTGGCTTGGGTGGCTTGGGTGGCTCTTTTAGTGCCGCTTAAGCTTTTTACACATTCTCGTTTATGGCTGCTACCATTTCGGTCCACATCCGGGACGTGCTGTCAAGGCTCTGCCTATTAGTCCTTGGCCGAAAGGACGCCCTGTTGTCTCTGTTTCGCCCAAATTGGAATGCCATAAAAATACGGAGGTAGGTACTCTGACTGCTTGCTTATTTAAAAATCATCTGAGAAAACTGAGTGGAGGAAAAGGGCAGCTTATTTCAGCTGTCACTGCTGCTGGGCTATCTCCTTCTGCTCCTGACTTGAGTTCCATTTGAGCCTTGGCCTGCCTCTTATCCTTCGCCTTCTCCTTCTTCGTCTCCGTCTCCCGTTCTCTTTCGCCCTGGCGCCCTTTCGTATCTGGTGTTTGTCTGCGTCGACTTCCGTTTCCGGTTGCACGCTCGCCATTGTTTCACCCCTTTTTATGACTTCTGGCGCACATGATTCTGGCTCTGTTTTTGCCGTTTTGTGGCCTTTTGTTGGCTTTTGATGAATTTTTATTAAAAGCAAATGGCCAATGCACCAACATGGAAATCCAAATCAAAGCGAAATGGCCAGAATGCTGCTGAATGAAAATGTCCATTCAATTTCTGGCCCATGCATCCGTTACGAATGCGCAAAATTCCACAACCGAGGTGTCCCTGTGGAATTTTGATATGCAGCCACTATATCTATCTACCTCCAGCTGAGAACTGTGATTTAATCAAAAAGCTTCAATTTGCTGGACCCCAATAACTGTCTATGCCGTCTCCTATTTATTATTTTGTTTTCGATGGCGCAACCTTTGACCTTCCCGGACCTTTGCTCCACTCAGTTGGAAGTTTGTTTGTTTCCTCTCAAGGCAACGAACTGCGAATAGGAAGCTGGAATTGACTTTCCCCGACTTGGACTGCTCCCAAATAGAAAATTTCAGTGAATTAAGCGGGTTGCCCCGCAATTAACCCCTTCGAATCGCTGACAGTTGCCACGTTTCAGAGTCCTTTGGTAATTTGGCCCGTGGGCATCATTTGCACAATTCCGACGATAAGGATGACCAGGAGGCGGTGGGGATACCTCGGTCCTTCGACCTTGAGAGTGTTTTGGGGGCATTGGCAACGGGTTTAAGTGATTTAATTTAATCATCGACGCGTAGGCCAGGACAACGAGTGGCAATGAATAATTCATTGGCGGCTAACAACTTAAATTCCCTTGCCTGAGAAGTAAGTTCAAATCTCTGCATTTTAATTGACTTATCAAATCTGTTATCCGTATTATAAATTAGCTATGACTGGGTGGAGATAAATTCAAATTTATATATTTCCCCAAATTGGAAATAATCAACAAAAACGCTTAATGGTTGTACAATTTAACTCAGGGGGAACTTTCATAAAGTCTAGAAATGGTTAACTTCAAAATAAAGCCTTAGGTAAGAAGGAGGGTTGAGAAGCAGAAAAGCAGCAATTAAATTAACCTTCTCTTTACGACTGTTTCGTGTTTTTGGCCACTCTTGGCCACTCTTGGCCGCTCATAAGCCAACAGCAAACATTTGCGACATTAGCGACGAACATTTTTACCAGCTCCTGCAGCTGAAATTGCTCCGCGATGATACATTGCTGGCTGCAATGCAATTAAGAATGCCACCGACAGGAGCCGGGGCACGTGGAACCCGAATCCCCTGAATCACCTGAATCCTGCTCTCGGCCCACTCTCCGAATTGGACGGAGAGCTCCGTGTAATAAACAATGGCAAATAGCGTTCGAGTTGACAGCGGAACACTGAAACGGTAATTGCATGTAAACATCGTTTGTGAGCGGTGGTGCATTGTGGTGGTGCTCTGCCTGTGGCGATGGCATAATTAGTGAGTGGGTGAGTGATTAAAGCCGAATGGTGGGTGGTGCTGGTGGCCGTCGTGCTCAGCGCCGGCTGGGGTGTCCTCTGCAGATAAAGACTCTGGCTGCCGCGTCACTCAGTTAACCGAGCAATCGGAGCCTGCCAGCCCTGCGTCCATCAATCAAACAATTGCCTCTGGCTGCCGAGTCAAAAGTCTTGAGTCCATTCAGCAGGCATCAATGCCAGGATCTGTTAAGTCCTCTCTCTAGATTCCATGGCATGGACGTCGGATGGCTGTCAGCAATCCAAGCGCACCGAATCCGAATTCACCTCGTGCGCGGGCCATACGTCAATCACGTTTATAGGTTTCTCTACAAGTTGTAAACTTTGGACTTTAACTGTGTTAACTAAACTGAATCCATGATGGTATTTTAGTAGTAAATCTAAATTAAAAACTAGGAAAATTAGGAATCAGCTGGAAAATTCCTGGGACTCGTAGGAATTTACTGCCCGAAACCCAAATGTGGAGCCAGCGATTTGAGCAATTTGAGCTGTCTGGAGATGGAGATGGACACGAGTCCGAAGCCCCGGAGCTGAAAAGATATCCTCGGGGCGTATCGCGTGGCAAGAGCAGGCCGGCAAACAGAAATTGTGCTTATGTTTATGTGCGTTTATTTACGACTTAAAATTTGAATAATTTACGATGGCGACGACGATGGCCAGCCAAGAATGCAATGCAAGTGCATGGGGAAACAGCCAAAGGGACAGGACTTTTAGGAACCACGAGGACACACAGCCACCGACCCAAACCAAACAGAACAAGCTACATTGAGTTTGCTTGGCCAAGAACTCGGTTCGAGAGGGCTGGTCAGGCCAGTTTTTGCATATCCCCTGGAAATGCACCGAAATCGAGCAGATTGTGCCGCGTGCGGCGGAAACAGCGGTTGCGATAGCGTTGAACGCAACCGGAAACACAAAATGCCACCATCGACCGGAAGGTAAATTATTGCAATCGCACCGCCAGGCATTTTCATTTCCATAACCGTAAATTGCTGCCTTTTCCCGCTGCAGTCGCCGTGACAAAAGGTGTTCATATACCAGAAAGGATCAAACCAGGGATTGTCCCTTTCGCGCGGAAATTCCCCATTATTCGGACTTTAGAGACCGGAAAACCACGTCGAGGACCTCATTCGAACGTGGTTAAAAGGTGGCTGAAAACATTGGCGTTTAATTAAATGGCATTTGTTTGGTTGCCCTAATTGACTGATTTATTTGCCTTCTTAACGTGCAACCTAATTACTCATTATCAACATTCCATTTCCATATTTCTGTCTGGGCCTAAAGATAACTATATTTAGTAACAGAATCTGCAGAGTCAGCTTGTATTTTAATCCTATCTAATCTGCCTTTCAGCCTTAAGTATTCTACAATTTACTTTAATTAAAAAGATACGGGGCTTAGCTATGCGGATATAATCCTAATAAGAGATAAGACTAAAGTTTAGGAAGGCATAAAAGAGGTTTGAGGTCTTAATTAGGGTTTGGGGCTAGTAAAGTCAGCTAATCATCGACGACAGACGTAATCTAACAACAAATTTAAGTTTTAATTATTTCGAATTAGCAACAAACAACGACTTAAACATTTCTTTACATTAAAAGCAGGTAACTCAATTTTTAAAGTACTCTCTTAAGTAATATTAGAAGGTAATGGGCTTGGTTTTCTCGAAAACTTCGCGCGCCAAGCTCCTCATGACCTTGCCGTTGGCATTCTTGGGGAACTTGTCCACGAAGATGACTCCGGCATTCAGCTGCTTGTAGTCCACTACCACGCGCTGGGCCACGTGGTCGATCACCTTCTGCTCGGCGATCTCGGCGCCCTCCTTCTTGATGATCAGGGCTCCGGCGGCATCGCCGTACCGCGCATCGCGAACTCCCACCACGCAGACGTGCTCCACCTCCGGAAGCTCGGCGATGATCTGTTCGATCTCATTGGGCCAGTAGTGCTTGGACTTGTACTTCAGCAGATCCTTCTTGCGGTCCACCAGGTACAGGTTGTTGTCCTCGTCGAAGTAGCCCAGATCGCCCAGGTTGATCCAGCCATTCTGTAGAGTGGTGGCCGTATCCTCGGGGTTGGAGAGGTATCCCTCCCACCTCAAGCCGATATCGATGAGCACTTCACCTGTCTGGTTCACGCCCAACAGCTGGCCGTCCTCTCCCTGGACCTTGATCCTCATGCCGGGAGCCAGTCTGCCCACTGAGCATTCCAGACCGTGATCGATGTTTATGGTGACCACGCCGGTTTCCGTGGTTCCGTACGAGAACATGACGTAGGTCTTGGGCATCAGCTCCTGGGCCCTTCGCAGCAACGCCAGGGATATCCATCCACCGATTACAAAGGATATGGTCAAGGACTGCAGTTTCTCTGGAGTGGCCAGTGGGCTGGTGTAGAGCTCGTAGGCCTGCCAAGGAGCCATCGCCAGGCAGGTGACCTTGTACTTGTTGATCATATAGAGAGCGGTCTCGGCACTGAATGTCTTTCTGGAGATGATGCGAGTGAAGCCACAAGTGAGATTCATAACGGTGATCGAGAATCCTGTCATCCAGTCGATCGTGGCACTGGTGTACAGCACATCGGTACTGATGCATAGCCTGAGGGTCAAGGTATTTGGGTTAGGGTACGAACTCTAGAAGGGCTCTCAGGAACTCACGAGTTGGTGGATGCGATGTGGCGGTGGGAGAGAGCCACTGCTTTGGGTAAACCGGCTGTGCCGGAGGAGCACAGAACTACGGCGATTTGGTCACCTCCATTGGCCAAGGAAGCGGGACTAAAAGTTGTATAAAATCATGAGAACTTAGCTGAGTTCTGCAGAATTGATTACTCGACTACTTACACGTAGATCTTCTCGGCGGGATGGGGCTTAACCAGATCCTCGATGCTTGTCACGCCCTCCACTTTTCCAGTGAGCGTGATCAGTTTCGGGGACCACTCCTGGGTGATCTCCTTGATGCGCTCGTAGTCGGATCCGTCGATGAACATGATCTTGGGCTTGGTCACCGAGAAGAGTCCCTTGACAATGGCTGGCTCCCTGGAGTAGTTGACGGCGTGGAAGGGCGTGGCTTGGAAGAAGCAGGCGGTGGCCACGGGGATCACAAAGGTGCTGGAGTTGGCGATGATTCCGACGCGGTCTTCCTGGGTCAGACCCTCGCTCTTGAAGAACAGGGCAATCCGGGTGGCATAGGCCAGCATGTCGGCGTTAGTCAGGACGGTGCCATCGTCGTCGGTGATCTACTTTTATATAATCGAGCTCATCAGACTCCCAACTCCGCCGGATTCGGGTTACTCAATCGTTTACCTGAATCACATTGGTGGGCCAGCACCTGAGGGAGTTGAAGACGATCTGACCAATGGAAGTGTTGAGGTCATACATCGTGGGCCTCGGGGGGCCACTCCAGATCTTCGTCTCCTTGTTGTAGAAGGTGGGGAAAACCGCCTTGGTCGGCATTTTGCTAGTCCAATTATAATTCGCTACTGAGTGTCCAGAATGCTTACATTGTCTTTTATATCGCCTGAGAGGGTCGCTTATCATATCAATTAGCCACCAACCAGCACACGCGTGGAGTCCAAAGTTTGGCCGAAATAAGTTGAAGATTTATGGTAACATCAGCTGATTTTTGTTATGGGCTCGTCTAATCTACCCAAAGCGAACTTTTTAATTTCCGCTCTAAAGAGAGTGACTTCCGTATTCTTTCCCTCCATGGTAACGGCGCGTGCCGGGGACCCCTTTGAAAGGCTGATGATTAACCCATTGCCAAGTTTGAAACTTGGTAACCAAAATGGGAGTGGTACTTGCTTTAAGAATTAGTGCAATGCGATTTTCGAGAGTGCATTCCCTTACGGCATTCGGAAAATGAAGTACTTTTTGGACACGACAAAGTATGAGCATTTGAGTTTCTCCGAAACTATTTTCCTGCTTAACTTTAACTTAAATTGTGCAGCTTGGTGCCGCTTTCAAAGGACTCCCCGAAATAGTTCCTTTTAAATGAACTCAACGCTGGCATTTTATTATGGTTGTAATATTTTCGGGGAGGTGCCACGCCCTGTTGCGCTATTTGCATTGTGTGTCGGTGGGCCACAAACGCGGGTGGCACCGCCCAAAGTTCCGGGAGTTCGCCTGCATGCATATATTAACATGAAATTACAGACAGTACGGCCAAAAAGCAAGCAAAATAGTTTAAAGTGTTTCTGAATTTGTTTGGCGAAATGAGCAGGGCAGGGCAGGGCTTGGCAGGGCAAATGCAGAAGGAACAGGAAGAGCACCCGGACAAGATGCTCCCGACGATTGGCATGCAAATAGGGAGCGCCACCTCCGGAAACGGCATCTTAAAGCTTTAAGTCCCCCAGACTTTCGGGCAGGATGAGCTCATGTACGTTGTCAGCAATTGCGATTCCGATTTGATTGGCGGTTTCGGGTGTCCGTTCTGGCGGTTCACTCAAAGTGGTCGCTTTGCCTACTGAGGCGTGACAGGAGCCGTCAGTTAATAATGCGCATTATAATGAGACAGCCCCGCCCAGTCCGGCCCCCGAAATGCCTACTCCCAGGTGATCCCACCGCAGGTTTGTCAGACGATAAGCCATGCGGCGGCAGGCAGACATCTAGGTAGTGGCATGCAGTGCCAGTTTAATTAATTACCATCACTGTGAGTGCATTCGTTACATAATTGAATCAGCAGTCGATGCCTGATAGGGAAATACTATTGTTTTCCCCCTTATCTCTCTCTGCGTCACTAACACCTTCTGAATGAAAGTGCACCCAAGTTCAAGCGCGGTGCTAGTGATAGGGATAGTGGTGGTGATAGTGGCTACCAGGATGGCCAAAAAAGATATCTTAGGTGCAAAGCGTTGCATAAGTGTACCGACTGTCGATGCTTGATAGGGAATACTACTCTGCTGGAATTTATCTTCCTACGACACTGTTACACTCTGAATGAATAAGCCGCTTCCTTGATAAGGCATAGAAGGTGTGATAAGTAAGCAGAGAAACTAATTGGATTGCCTGGTATCTGGAATGTAGCTGAAGGGGTTATCGGCCAAGACACTGTTCACCATGGATTTGTGTTTTGTCCGGTTGAAGTACTCCAATTATGGGAGCTTTATGAGAGTTGCAATTTGAAGTTCTAAAATAAAGATAATCTTTAACAAGAAACAGCTTTAAGGCAATAACTTTGTAACTAGATATTAGATTTTAAGTGACTAATACATGGTTATTACCATAAGCCATAGCTAAAAGTTTTCTAGTTGCCCAATAAAAATTGTTCCATTTCTCCATTCAGAGCGTTTTGTTGGCGGTTAGCGGTCAGTGTCCCTGACCTTAGACAATCGCCAACCGAGGGCTGCGGAAAACAGTTGGATTTGCGTTCGGGCGTTATCAAGCTTATCACACTTGTTGGAGGTCCGCCACGTGTTCCGGGAATTTCGGCCGAGCGCAACTGTCATAAATCTTGCATACGCCCCGTGGGCATGCGCGGACTGGGTTCCTATTCCATTGCGTTCCATAAACATCGCCCCATTCATAAAATGCGGCGATGTTTCTCGGAGGCAAGACTCTGGATGCTGGTTGCTGGCAAGGACCGGGCCAACAGTCTGCTGTCTGGGGACTTGGACACGCTCAGGCAGTTTGCGGTGATTCGTTCGACGAGGCGGTTGCAAGCTCGGCTCTCGAGTTGGTCGGAAAATCACTCTCGTGGCTTGAACAGTTGAATAGTTGGGAAAGTTTTAACGGAGAGGACGTTCAGATCGGCGGCCGGCGACCACGAATTAGCCACAGATAAGGGCCTAACATATTGCCAAACTAGTCTATGCGGTTAGTAAAAAGTTTCGCTCAAGTGTTGTTAAGTGCTGAAAAGTTAGCCGTGATAGTTAAGTGCGCTCGTAACTGAAACTCGGCCTGTCGGTTGCCTCCACACACGTTGGCCTTTTCCCCAAAGTTTTTTGGCCAAGCTCATCCGACTCTCCGTTCTTTCCGGGCCTGTCAAAATGTTTTGGCCCGAACTTTTCGTCCAGGCCCCCAACAATTGAAGTTTTGACAACAAAATTTAGTTAAGCAAAGCTGCCGCGGTTTCATATTCTTTTCCGGCTGAACTGCCGAACTGCAGAGTGGAGTTCGTAGGAAAAAACTGGCGTACCGTATTGCCGTAGTGCACTTTTTGCAGCCTTTCGATCCTTGTTTGGTTAACTACGTGAACCGCCAGCAAAGTGAACAGATTGAACGTGTGATGTGAATGGTAAGTGCAGCGGATGCTTTTCGTTTTCCGCATTTTTTGATAACTTTTGCCAGCGCGAATCGATGAACTTGGCTTAAGGGCATTTTCCGGAGGAATAATAGATTCTTTCTTTTTCTGAAAAGTGTTCATTGTGTGCAAAATGCATCAACTGCTTGCAAGCCGTAATCTAAACTTTATCCACTTAACAGGGGCAACACTGCGTATGAGTCATAAGTAAGCTGAAGTATTTCCGAGGCTTGAACTTTAAAGTTTTCTTAACAACATAAAGTGAAGATGATGGATGAATGTGATTTCTGTATCTCTGTATCATCTCTTCAATGAAAATATGAAAGAGTGTAATTAAGAATGTTCTTAAATTGATTTAATTTATTTGCGAGAACCCTTAAAGCACACCTGTACCATTGATGTTTCCCTTTAGAAACCTATTAGTCATTGGAAGTCCAATTGCCGAGCATCTAAAAGGTTTTCTTAGGCCCTTTGATGGCTATTTGCATGTGTTGCCACTCGTGGTAATTGCTACTTTATTGTATCTTCGTGCCCCATTATGAAATGGACACGAGGAGCCCAGGAATCCCAGAGGGTCGGACCCGGGCGCATAAATATGCTCGCTGTTCGGGGCAGGGACACATTACAATGCCCCCTGAGAGAGGCCCGAAATTGTGCGTGTCGCATCTATAATTAAGTGAATATGGAGCATGCTGGGGCCTCAAGGAGGTATGCCATGCCCACACATATTTCCCCAGAACATTTGCCCCAGAAATGGAACATGTCGGCATGGTCGCGGCAGAATGGATCCGGATATGTGACAGTGGCATTTGCCAAAATGCGTTATAGATTCACTTGAGAGATACCCAAGATATGCTTCAGATGCCTAGTATAAGTGTTAGGATTCATTGAAAAAATAAAATATTTATGAAAGTGGTGAAAAGTGGTTAAAAACCTTTCGAAAAGCTCAAAAAACTTCTTTTATGTGGATATCTGAGAGAAAGTCTTTTGAAAGATAAGCTTTTTGGGAATTGAATGATTTCAAGACTCTTCTTTAACTTTTTACCAAGAATAACACCAGACGCTCAATCTTGTTATATCCCAAAAAGTTCCCCAATTCACCTCTTTAATTCAGTTGGCTGTGCTGGATTTTCGCCTGTCTGGCATTTCGGAGCACTTGTATTGTCAATAAGGACATTCTTCAACAAGTCTGCCCGACATCAAAGGGAACCACACGCACAGGCAAACATGAGGAATCGAAGCCCCATTTCCCATAACTACAGACACCCTCGCCCTAGTCCAAGCCCAACATAGCACATGGCGAAAGCAAGCTTGGCAAGTCAATTAAATTAGCCATAATATACGGCAAATGTTTGCCTAGTTACTGTACAGTCGGCACTCCTCGGAGCCGGACTTTCGGCCCTGCATCTGGCATTGTCCCTGTTTGCATTTGGCTGCTCATGAGTAATGTGCACACATAATTATGAAAAATACACAAGGCACTCGACCGAGCTACAGTGGAGGCTCGTTAGGCCTAACACCCTGGGATGCTGTTTAATGTGGGTCGAGGTGCTCCACTGTTTATTTGTTTGTCTTAGCTGCACAGCTAATTTTCATCCGCATCTGTGGCAGTTTTGAGCTTAAAACAACAATACATTGGCCCGAGACATCCAATTCCGCAGGGCAAATAAAATAATTACGGACAGAACGTTAACACAAATTTTACTGGTAATAAATTCTGCAGCCTCTTGGAGTAATATAATTTACGGCTCATGGCCCGTTTAACACTGAAGCACTGCAACATGATGGGTCAAGTTAGCTGGTGATTGACCTATTCGTTCGTACGCTCGCCCTGAGCCAAATGAGCAGCTGAAATAAAATTAAGCTACTTGCCTTTTGAATGTAGCAGGACTATGGTAATTTGTTTAATAGCTGGAAGCCAGGCCAAGTTAACTAAATGTCTGATTAATAGAGAAACGCCAGGATGAGGTGGCTTGTTACTAACACAAATCGAACTTCAAACATGGGTTAAACTAACTCGTGATTGACCCATTCATTGGCACTTCGCCCAAGTCAAAGAACGTTGGTTACTCGGCTTGTTATTACCATAAGCCTACCTCCTTCGATATTGGGCTGTCTGGTAACTTGAACCCGGGGTCAGGAGGGCTATTTGTAAATCTCCGTAAGCCATGAAGCATTTGCAGATCTGGCAATGATAATTCCGTTCAAGTAGCTCAGCGCTGGGAAATTCCAGGGCATTAGGGCCCAGGACGAAGAAAGAAACAAAACACTTACATAAAGAACAAAATCTGCGATAAATCCAGAAAAACCGAAAAGGAAAAAAGAATATATACGAATGAGAGCATGAAAATTATGGGCAGCAATATTTTTGCCAGCTTTGTTGCTTCGCCGTTCGCCATTCGCCACTCGCCATTCGGCATTCGGCATTTGCCATTTGGCATTGCCAGTTCTGTGGCCTAGACGACGACACACCCATGCAGACAGAAGGCAGGGGCTTAAATAAATAAAATAAATCAAAAATGTAAATCAACACTCAAATGTATATCTATGTGGGTGTGCGGCTGGGATAATAATTTGCACACATATGTGGGAAGGGAATAGATCTGGAATCTGGATAGTTGCTGGGGGAGGGCGATACTATATCATACCACGAAGACATAGAGGATGGGTGGAACCCAACTCTCATTAAACCTGCCTCAGATTGTGTGTGCATTCGTTCGTTGACTTTGGCATTCTTGTGTGGTTTGTCATTTGGTGTCGGTCTGTAATGAAAGAAATCATGACAAAGCATTCGTTTATGGCCCGAGGAATTGTTTGGATTTCGAGTGTCAAAGAAAATATTAAATTATCCCAGGGCACACAAAAGCTTCTAACGAAGCATTTATTTTGTTTTATGGATTTCTGAGCCATTCGTTTTTGCCTGCCTGTATTGAGCAATGAAATCATTTATGGGAAATTCATGAAAAATTCATGACTTCTCAAAACCAAATGGCTCACACAACTTTTAAGTGTAATTGAAGCCCAAACAAATAGAACACAAACAGTGAGTCGCAACAATGGCTGCTGCCAATTATTTAAGAATATTTGCCCTAGCTAGTGTGCAGCAACTAGTTTCCTAGGACGAGATTGCCTGGCTGTCTGCTAACTTCAATTAAAATACAGTCCCATCACTGTTTCTTCTTCGATCCTGTCTCCGGGCGGACATTGAGAACCCTTTGACGAGTCTTAAATGGATTGCCAGCCAGGCGTGTTCTCCGGCGTCTTCATTATAAAATACACAGTTTCCCAGCACTTGATGTAATTCCGTTCATCATTTTGTCTGTCCTGGCCCGCAGCAATGTCCATTCCGCTCCCATCCCCCCCTCCGTTCATTTGACTAACTGAAACGTGACAGGGAGTCGTCCTCCTGGAAGATGTGGGTTCCCTTTCCCACCCACCTGCCTGTGTCTGTGTCCAGACCCTTGTTACGGATCCCGAGTGGACAGAGCCAGTCTGACTGGCTGGCTTCTTTCCTCTTCTTACAGCTGTTTATAATTCCGGGAGGAATCCACTTCATTTTTATCAGCTTCATCACGGCATCTTGCATTTTTGAAATGAAATTGTCGCTCCATTTCTTTGGTTCCCCCACTCATCAGCGCCATCTCCATCTTTAATTCAGCTGCTCCTTCTTTTTTCACCTTTTTCGGCGGCGGCTTGTCATTCAATTTGACGCCACATTAATTCACAGCATTTTGCTCCTTTTGGCCAGCCGGATATTTGCATTCTTTCTCCTTTTAATTGCTTCGTTATGCGACGTGCTTGTATCTCCGTTCTGCCTACCCGGCGTATACGCACTTTAAGGCTCTTCGGGGAGCCGAAATAAAAATGCGATCCCACAAGTCATTAGAACGTAATCAACTGGAGTTCAAGCTTACCCAATTTAGGGAAATCTTTAGGTGGCCTTAAACGGTGGCCAACACTAAAAGCTAAACCTGTATTTATATCCACTTTTTGGTATAAATATTACAAAATTCAAATTAAAATAAAACATAAAATTTCAAATTGGCTCGTTTTATAAAAAGTCTAGACATACAAAAACAATATTTGGGTTAAAAAACAATTTGGTTTATAAACTTAAAAGCGTGTTCCACATTTTTCCTAAACAAACTATTTTCGACGAAAAAGTTGTTGCATACTTTTAGGATGCACAAAAACATAACAGAAACGAAATAAAGTTTAACATGTTAAGATATTAAGAGTTTCTATTGTTCATCTGATTATTTCAGCATATCTATTTAGTTTGCAGGCATTTATGGATTTTCTGTGTAGTTTCGCCACAAATGGTTAATTTTCGACTTCGCAGTGGAACTTTTCCCGCCACGTTTCCGGTTCCCTGCCCTGCCCTCGCTGGCCATTTCATCGGCCACTTTTCGCAGCTCTCGGGTTGGCCTCTATTGTTTTGATTTCCGCCGTGGTGCTTGTCGAGTGGTCGATGCTGGGGGTTCCGATGTTTTGGGTTCCGCACTGCGAGGTCCTGGTGATGCTTGAATGGCAAACAATAATAAGCGCCTTCTGCATCTTGTTTGCTCGTCCACTATTCACCCGCCCGCCACCAAAACTCTCGGCCCTTGAATGTAGTCCGGCCTACAGATTTAGAGCTCCATTACCATGGGGACAGATGGGACACCACAAAATAGAGCCGGGCAGGTTTGTTTGCCATTGGGCGATAGTTAAATTGGGCAGACAAATGCTTTTGCCCGCCGATATTTCCCGCCTTTCCCTCGCCCCTATCGTTTCCGGTTTCCAGTTTACAGTTGCCAGTTTATCAGTCAATGGATGCAGTTTAAATCCAGCAATTTCACTCCTCTTTCGAGGCCTTGGGGAGCCTTTCGACTGACATGTGCTAATGCCGTTCGAGGTCCAGAGTCCAGGATTTGTTTGCCCAGCACATTTCTAATTCAGAGTTTATAAAGTTGCCCTGCTCTGTTAAAGTTTCTCAAATAGAACCAATGGGA